GTCAAACAGGCCGCCCCCCGAACTTGATGCTGCGGGATGGCGGCGGAGGCGGCGTCGGCCGCCTCCTACACGGGGAGGGCGCGAGTTACGATTGCAGGTAGAGCCTCCTAGGCTGTCGTGACATGACGTGAGCACACACTAACAAAAACATTTTTTAAGCCTGTGATGGAGGAGAGTGAGTGCGGAAGGAAGCTGCTCTTCTAGGTTGGTAAAAGTTCTTTGGGACAGTTCCATTATTTTCTTTCTTACTTCAGGCATCTGTTGTCCTGATGTTTTGTTTTCTTTCTTTCCCCAGAAGTAAAGAAGTCAGAGTTTCCTACTTATGTGGCATTCGTTACTTTATTTCAGTAAGCTGAAATGTCGTGATGGCATTTTCAGGCTGGTAAATTTTACCATTGGAATTGCTGAAAAAAAATAGGGAAAAGTTCTGTCGCAGCTTTTCCAGTCGTCTTGCTGTTTCAGTAGAGCTTCGGCATGATTTTCTCCTGGTCTGTGTTGTCAGATGTTGAGTAAGTCTCGTCAGCTTCCATATTCCTAGTATATTTAAGTATCGTAAATAAAAGAGAACACTCAGAGAATTGTATGCTGAGTCAAATAGGAGAGTTGTCTTCTCACTGAGGAATGGATCGACCTGGTGAAAGGAAGACAGATGACTAGGTAATTTGTGAGGGGTTTTTTTAACTTAAAAAATAGTTCTATAATCCGTATACTGAAATAACACATCGTAGAGCAGTTGCTCTTCACCCATTTTAAGAAAATGTATCACACTTTTAAACTGGCCTTCTGTCATTAGGCTAAAACAGGCATGTTGTCGTAACTGTTGCATTTGGTTTTCTCTTCTTTGTACTAATAAAAGACTACGTGTTAGAAGTACATTCACAGAAGTTTACCTCATGAAGTACCATTTACACCATGTAATAGTAATAGTTTTGTTTAGCAGCTAAAAAAATAGTATATTCTGCCTGTTTTAACCATGTTTTTCTTTTGCAGAAATGCAGGAAAAGTGAATTTATGGAATAAAAATCTTTGCATCTGTCCAAGGAAGCAGAATTGGGTCTCTTTTGAAGGTGCCAAGTTGTACATAATATGCAAGTGATATTGGTGTATAAAGAGGTCCTCGCCACACAGAACATAGAAATAATAATAGAGTGTTCCAGTCTGTAGAGCATCTGCAGTTGTATGGTGATGGTTACTGTCTAGGTTGGAAGTAACGATATCTCAAGGTATTTGTCCATAGACATAAACATATTCTCTTTTGGCAGTAGTGCTACTGATGGCAGTTTTAGGATTAACCTGTGTGGGATTTTGTTCTTGTTGTGAAAGCTCCGCAGTTTGAGCTTATGGCTTAGATGGAATGATAGAAAACAAACTGGCATATCATGTAAATGCAGAGGGTTTTTTTTAATCAGTCATTCATGCCAACCACTTTTTTCCTCAGTTGTTATTTACCCAAAAGAACTAAATTTGCTTAAACGCCAAAATTTATTGTTCTTCATGTATTACGTGAAGAGAGCTTAAGGATATTTTTCAACCCAACAATTAAGCAATATCTTGCAGTCTTTTTTAATGTTATTTGTTTTAATGATTTTTTTTTTCAACTGTAGATCACTAAAAGTTTTGGCTGTCATTTGCTTATTGTAAAAATCACAGTTTGAAAAGACAACTACCTATTTTAAAAAAAGAACAAAACTTTTTTTTTTTGGTGATAAGCAAATGCTATGCTTTGGCTCTTTAGTATCCTATGCGCTTAGAATAAAAATGTGATCTGGGTGATATTTAGCAGTTACAGAACATCTGCAGTTTTGAAGACGTGGTCATGAGGAATAGAGGAGGGTGCAGAATGATACTTGCTCTAAATTTATGAGTTGAGGCATTCATCTGTAACCAGAGAAACTCTTGTCCAATTATGGATGCTTACATATATTGGATATGAAATAATGTGCTGTATTTAAAAAAATGACTCCCAGTTTTTTTAGTAGTGTACTTAATGGGAGAATTCCACTAGTGATGCATATCATTTTTATAATACTACAGTACCTGTTGCATCATATGTTTTGAGTAGGAATTTCATTCATCCTTACAGCCGTTCCAATGCAATCGGGAAACTGAGAGATAAAGTGAGGGTGTCTGTTTCTGTAGGCTAGAAGAGTCAAAGTCACGGTCCGGTGTTTTGTGGCTTTGGGGTTCTGCCAGGTGGTCTGGTAGGAAGCCTTCAGGCGACGCTTGGCCTGCGGGAGGGTTGCTGGCTTGCTGCTTGTGTCCGGAGGGAATGAGTTCCCCCCTCTAGGAGGGTGAGGTGGGAAAGGAGACTCTTGTGCTCCTGAAGGGTCGGATGCTTAACTCTGCTCTCCCAGGATGATGATGCCGCATCCAGGTCCTGTCACTTAAAGCCATTGGGCTCTTCTGGCTCAAATCAGATGATTTCCATATGCACTCTGGCCCAAGTGAGGTTTCTTCAGTGATGGTACCTTCCTTACCTGCCATGAGCTCGTCTGAACAGCCTGTTTTCTAGGAGGGGTTTTAACTGTGCTACAGTATCTGTGGAAAACAGGTTGATCGTGTTGAGCTTTAGACCCTGGGAATAGGTTTACCTGTTAGAAAAAACAAATGAATGTATGTACCTTTTTTTTTTTTTTTTTCCCCAGCTGCATCCTATGTGTCTTTCTATGTACTCTGTTTTTGATGTAGATTCTTCAGAAATGGGTTTGTTTATGTCTCTTCCAGCTTGGAAAGTAAAAGTATATTGTGCCTACTATCAAAGCTAAATAAACACAAGATGAAACTTATGCTTGAATTTATTTTTGTGAATTTATGCTTGAACACTCATCTGTGCCTTTTTTCCCCTTTGCTTGGGTCTAAATAAACTGTAGGTGTTATACAAGATACGTGTTCCTTAAAAGGACAGAGGAGTTACTGAGGGTATGCCCCAAACTGTATTTTGAGATGACAGAATACAGTCTGTTGACACCTTCTGTTTTGAGAAGGGAAGAAATACATATAAAAAGTATAAGCTTATGTTCTAAAATATTAATCCATTTTCACATAACCATTAGTTTGATGTAGCTAGCGCTTGCTTGAAGCTTGACAGATACAGCACTGCCTGTTAAAGCTGAAAAGCACAATCAACCGACATTCTGGTAATTCGTACAGGCGAGCAGAGCCTTATTCCTTCAAAACCAAACATCTCAAGTTTGGTTTTGTTTTTTTTTTCTGGGGGGGGGGGGGGGGAAGGGAGAAAAAAAAAGAAAAGGGGACTCTTAGTGAGAAAACGCGTGATGCCTGCTGTCTCTGCTAAAAGGCTTTAGTTTCTAGTACAAGGTGAACAGTCAACATAGTACGCTAAAAAAAAGCTTAAGCCACTGGGGAAATATTTTGTCAACATCCCACTCTGAACATTTCCAGTTCCCAGTGGACCCATATATTAAGACCTGACAAGTCCCACAGTGCCTTGCACAGCCAGAAATGAATGAAGAGTAAAAGCAAACACAATTCTGATTTGACTTGTAGAACTCCTTGAATAACAAACATTTTAACCTTTCCTTTCAGTGTCAAACTAATATGCAGGGAAAAATATGGAACAGACAAACAGACATTTTTCCCAGCAGACTAGCATTCCTTCCCTTTTATCTGGCAGACTTGTTCCAGCTAAGCCAGCCTGTGACCACAGTCCCTTCAGCAGAATATGAGCAGCTCTGTACTGTAACACAGCTATGTAGTGGCTGGATAAAATTTGATTTCTGAATGCTGAAGAGGACATAAGTAGGTAGCTTCAGAGCTTGGAACATTTCCAGGATGTCATCTAAATTGAACTATGCTGCATGGAGCGTGTCCACAACATTTCTTTTCTGTAAGAGCTGTTGCTGTGTTGTAATAATAAGAAATACATATAAAAAGTATAAGCTTATGTTCTAAAATATTAATCCATTTTCACATAACCATTAGTTTGATGTAGCTAGCGCTTGCTTGAAGCTTGACAGATACAGCACTGCCTGTTAAAGCTGAAAAGCACAATCAACCGACATTCTGGTAATTCGTACAGGCGAGCAGAGCCT